CAGCCAATAAATCCGATAGACTTTTACTACGAAAGGTTCAAGGCCAATAACTACTTTTTCTAATGCAGGGTTAGTCTATGTGTTCTCTCTCCGAGTCTTTGTTGTAAATGTTGTCCGTTTTCTTTATTCAAACAATTTTTATTCATGTGGCGAATTGTTGAAAAAAATGATTTTATGGTGACTTGAATGTGAATTTAAAGTAGGTCCCTACCATTGGTTGATGAGGGATTAAATAGGTTTAGATTCTTTGTAACAAGATCTTACACTACAAAAAGAATGACCAAAAACCATTAAGAATTGAATGAGAAATTGTCTTACAAAATTGGCCTCATAAATGAGGTATTGGGAGTTGTGTATAATTACTAATTTCACATTGATTGTAGAGGAAAACTTTGATGGGTATTTAAACCTTAAGATTTTAATAAGGGCATAAGTTTTTTGGGACATCCAAATTTTCCGAAGGAAGGGAGTTATAGATGCTTCAAAGATGGGCTTGAGTCAAAACTATGGTTCAAGTTGGTTATGGAAAAATTGCCACACATGCCTGTGCGTGCATCGCCTGCTTGCCTCGGCCGGACCAGACCGAGCCAGGCCTAGTTCGGGTCCGTGGTCCGTAATCCGTGATACGTGGGTCGTGGACTGTGGATCTTGGATCTTGGGACTTGAGGCTTGAGGCTTGGGTTGGGCCGGGCCGGATTGGTGGTCCACTAACCTAATCTTTTTTAGGCCAAGTCTACTGCGGATGTACATACATGTGTATACAGAGTATATAACTCATATACTTATTGACCCATCAGTTTTGCAAGAGTAATGACCTACATTTGGTGCCAGTCTTGATAGTTGGAGGCTCCTCTTCTCTCCTCCATTGTATGTAAAAGGAAGCCCATCTTCTTTAGTTTGTTACAGAATTTTTGGATTCCAAATATACGGTCAGTTTCCTTGTGCCCATAATTTTTCTTCCTGTGTAAGAGTGTTGCCATTGTCGATTAATAAAACTATTAAAAGGTGCTTCTGCGTTAGCCGGTCTAAACCGTCGTATCTTGAGAGACAGAAGCCAACGTACCTCCAGCACCCACAATGAGGGCGGCTAATCTATTTTAAGGAGACTGTAGTATCCCATAAGTTTCGATTTGTGTTTTTTTTACTATTTTATTGTATTGTATATGTCTATGTAATATCATTGTAAATTTCACCATATTTTCTTAGTTTGTAATTTAATTTAATTAATCATGAATCTATTTATTTTAGTTAATTACATTAATTTGAACAAGTGGTAGTAAGACTTTAGTTTCAAAAAAAAATTTGTACTAATTTTCAATCAATCATAATAATCTTTATTGTTGATTCTATCTTTTTTTGTACAAAACTCTGTAAAATATAAAAAATATTAAAAATTTATTTTTCTTTAAACTAGTTGATTAATTCGTTGTGTTTGTCAAAACCCATCTGCTTAAGATGCGGATAAAGGGCTTCACCTGTTGATGGTTTTTGGTGGAGTCTCCATCACCTATGGCTACCAGCCAACAGCAGGAGCCGATAAAGGCATTGGCACCCGTTCATTGTTTTGCCTCTTTTCAAAAGTGTATTATTAGTTAAAAGTCAGTTTTTAATCTATTTTGAATCATATTATTTTTTATATTTTTACATGATTTTTAAAAAGAATTTTAAAAAAAAATTAAAAAATTAATTTTTAACCATCTTTTTAAAATGGGCCAAAATTACAGTTGATTCTAATGATTATTCAGTTGATTCGGTAGATGCCCAAGGAAGAGTAAAACTACTCCGGTCTTTAGGCAACTTACGGTTAGGCCGGTCTCAGAGTTAGTCCGGTCACAGTATGTTCTGAGAAGGCCGGTTTCGGAGTTAGTCCGGTCGTGACTTACAATGGTTAGGTCGGTCAGAACTTGTTACTTGGAAGTTTGATCTAAGTACGTCAAGGGTGAACAGAACAGCCGAAGTAAGGAGTTAGGGGAGAAGACCGAGCTAAGGATAGTTCGGCCCTCTGTGGCTCGGTATAGCCAATTTTACTTCGGTCAAATGGAAGTTCGGCCATAAAGAAAACCATCCCACTTGGTTTAAGCAGTGGGGGAGGGTGTAAAAGGATAAGCATTATCCTTAGGAGAATGAATCCTAGGAGGACTCTGCATGGAGAAGTACAAGTCCTACTAGGATTGTGCCACGGGAAACTTATAAAAGCTCACAAGCATCACCTTGGAGGAGGTAATTGAATACAATACTTTTTGAGAACATAAATCTTTGTCTATTTGCCAAGCTTTCTGACTTAGGCATCGGAGAGGTTTCCGGCACACACCCGCCGGCTAGCTCACGTTTGTGTTTTCAGGTGACAAAGTGACGTCGTACGGAGGAGCGTGGACTTGGTCAACAGGATTATACGAGGAGAATTATTTCCTCCCCGTACAAATCATAATAATTTTTATTGTTGATTTTATCTTTTATTGTACCAAACTCTGCAAAATATAAAAAATATTAAAAAAATTATTTTTCTTTAAACTAGTTGATTAATTCGTTGTGTTTGTCAAAACCCATCTGCTTAAGATGCGGATAAAGGGCTCACCTGTTGATGCTTTTTGGTGGAGTCTCCATCACCTACGGCTACCAGCCAACAGCAGGAGCCGATAAAGGCATTGGCACCCGTTCATTTTTTTGCCTCTTTTCAACAGTGTATTATTAGTTAAAAGTCAGTTTTTAATCTATTTTGAATCATATTATTTTTTATATTTTTACATGATTTTTAAGAAGAATTTTAAAAAAAAATTAAAAAATTAATTTTTAACCATCTTTTTAAAATGGGCCAAAATTACAGTTGATTCTAAAGATTATTCAGTTGATTCGGTAGATCAGTCAATTGGTTCAACAATAGATATAGTCGATGGGGTAGAAGTTCTACAGAAACTCGTTGAGCTCCTCATTGCCTCAATCTTCCCTATATGCCCTCAACATATGTTTTCAGATATGATTATACAATTATAACCAGCTTTGCTTAGTAAGACCTAGTTTGGGAAGACTAAATAAGTGTACTTTTTGACTTTTTATAAAATATGGGTTGGATTTGGGTTGGGTTTGAAGTGATGTGTTAGAGAGGTGATGTGACTTAAACAAGATGATATGACTTAAATAGGACAGTGACTTTTTAACTTTTTGTCTTTTTTCAATCATGCCAAACTTGGCCTAAATATATACAGGGCCGGCCTGAGAGCAGGTAAGAGAGGCCTGCACTTTAGGTCTCTAAATTTGGGCTAAAAACAAGGGCTTCCAAATATAATTTTGCATTTTAGATATAAGAAAAAAAGTCCAAATACTATAGGTCCAATTGAATATGAGGCTCAAAAAAAAGCAACAAAACTAGATTTTTATTTTTTTTAAGTATTTGTAATGATTGCTTCCTATTTTCATATATAAAAATAAAATAAATATTTATTTATAATTTTAATGATTATATGTGTAGATAAATTTTTTTGTGACCACAAACAAATAAAAAAGTTGTAACTTATCGTTTTATTTAAGATTTTTTTTTTCAATGTAACAGGACTCCATTTTTGAAGCTCGCCATGGGCCCCCTAAACCTCAGGACGCCCTAAATACAAAAAAAGGAGCATTATTAAACCCATCCAATAAAAAATTACAAATCTCCCGCCCACATAGTTTATTAACTAATAAAAATAAATATATTTATATAAATTGAGCCAACCACTTTTAGATTGATCAGACTAACAAATTTTAATTTTGATCGTTTTCGTAAGGTATTTTAGTTCTGAAAATTTACACCAATTCCAACTGAATTAATCAAAATATTATATTTAAAGATTTTATATTCTAATTCTTTGCATTATTAGAAATAAATGACTAATGAGTAGGAGTTAGACTCCTGTAGAGGGATTACCACAATTTCTCTTCATCTATTTCTCGTGTAGAATTTTACAAATTCTTATAAAATTTCTTAAAATTCTAATGTCACAAATTAGCATAACTTGCCTATAATATACACATTGAAAAAGAATGTATATTATAAAATGACCCTATCTAATAATTGTAACTATATATTTTTCATATTTTTCTATATAAAAAAAATGAATAGTAATAATGATTTGAAAATTAATTATTTAAAAAAAACAAATACAACAAAATAATATGAGAAAGTTGTTTAAAAGTCCATTCCAAAAGGGTGTAGTTTAAATTTTATTTGTTGATACGGACATGTTGGAAAGTTACTGAAAAATTGGTCAGAAAAGTCATCGACGGCGGCAATAGGTGATGGTGGTGAGGTAGAAAAATATGTGATATTAAACATATAAGTTGTTGAATGAATGACAAATATATTGATTTCAACCAATAGTAAGTTTGGTGAATTTTAACAGATAGATAGATTGATTGATTTCAACAAATAATGATCTTTTTGAACAAATTATATTCTTTTAACCCAAAAAAATTAGGGTAAATTACACATACACCTCCTGAGATTTAATTAAAATATAAATTTTCCCGTGATTTGGAAAATTACAAATACCTCTCTGTCAGAATTTTTTATTTAACAAAATTAATTAAAAAAATGAAATTTTTAACTGTTCTCCTATGCAATAATAAAATTATCTGAATTATTAATTGAAATAAAATTTTAACATTATTAAAAATTATTAATTAACTTGATGATTTATTAATAAAATGACCTATTTGTTATGAAATTAGAAATCTTAGAGGGCATAATGTAATTTTTAAAACTATAAAGTTAATTTATAATTTAAGTAAATCTCAGAAGGCGTGTTTGTAATTTATCCAAAAAACTAAAACTTGTACCTAATGAGCAAAGCTTGAAAAATAAACTTATGACATGAGTGTCTTAAATTATCAATCCAATTGAGAGCTTGCGTCACGAAATACAATTTACAAAATAATAATGTTAAAAGTTTCAAAAATTTTATTAAATTTTTATCAAATATCTCATATAAATACAAAACTCATGTCATTTGTTATAAATTTTGATAGAAAGTTTGGGATCTTGTATTTTTGTTTACAAAACTCCATTCCGCGCGCTGCTCTTAACGAACTTAACGGCCACAGAGCTCCCCGGAAACCCAGCAACTTTTCCATGGCTCACAGAGAATTTCTTCAACCCGCCAACCCAAACTCTCACTCTCTCTCTCTCTCCTCACCTCTCTGTCTCTCTCTCTCTCTCTCTCTCTCTCTGTGGTTATGCATGGAAATCCCCAACAAATCTACCACCGCGCCATGGAAAATGAATAACAATCGCCACCAAACCCCCTCCAAATCGAGCTTCCTCCCCAGATCCCTCCTCCTCATCTACGACCACCAAAAGCCATGGTGGGACCAAATTCTCGATCCCGGAAGCGAATTTGCCAATCAATGGAACCACATCTTCATGGTCACATGCCTAATTGCTCTTTTCTTGGACCCTATGTACTTCTATCTCCCCAAAATCGGTGGCCGGGTTTGCATGAGCATGGATGTGGGGTTGGGCGTCTTCATCACCGTCCTCCGCTGTGTTGTGGATCTCTTCTCTGTGTTGCATATGGCCATGAAGTTCCGGACCGCCTATGTGGCGCCCAGCTCTAGGGTTTTCGGGCGGGGAGAGCTCGTGACTGATCCGTGGTTGATCTCAAAGCAGTACTTGAAATCCGATTTCTTGATTGATCTTGCTGCCACGCTTCCGCTCCCACAGGTAAGTTGCATTTACAGTTCTGTTTTATTTTTGAAGTGTTATTTGTTATGGTTAGGTAAATTGCAATTGTTTATCTATTTGTCCATTAAGATGTAGCATCTCCAACCCAAATTTGTTCAAGAATGTTCTAGAATTTAGACCAAAAGCTTGATTTGATATAATTCACTCACGCTGTGTTTGGCTGGGGATTTGGGAATGAAAAGGAAAAAAGTAGGTGAAATGTGAATAAAATATATCTATATTTCACATAGTTTCACACACCTTCTTCATTTCCCTTTCCAAATCCCTCAACCAAACATAGCGTCAATGGTGAAAATCGAAAATTTCATCAAATGTTGTTTAAAAATACTTAGACTATCCAGGTCGAAACAAACAAAAGAAGAAGAAAACTCTAATCCTTTATCTTTTAAGAATTTCATCAAACCTGACTGAAAAAAGAGTTGTTGGAAATTGGTGAAAATTTTGATTCACACCTGATTTGATTTTGATGAAGCATTTATTGAAAACTTGATTTGATACAAGTTTAACGAAATGATTGGATATCATTTTCATCAATTTTAAATTTGATGAAGGGTTTGGTGAAGGATTAGAGATGCTTTAGTCTTAAATTTAGACCTTTTTTAAATTGGGGGAATGTTATACAAACTGAATTTACATACAAAATTGCCAAGGTCACATCCTCATGCATAAAAAATCTATCTGATTATCATATTTTTCTTTTTAAGCAGATTTTAGTTTTAACTTCTAGGTGTTTGTGCATTGCCAAATGCACAAAATGGATTGTCTGCTGAAAATTTTCAAATTTAAGCACTTAATCTTTATTTTGTGGTTCTTAAATTGTTTTCCTTCTTGTTGTGTAGACTAGTGAATGGCATCGTATTCTAAAGCACTTATGTGGGCTAGTTGGGGATGGTTGATTGAGAGACTCTAAGCAAAGATTTTAAATATTTTCCTGGTGTAAATTGTTAATGGTATTTAACATATAGGTTTTTATTAGGGGGAAATATATAGGTAACTTGTAAATTAAAGCTGTCTTTAAACTTCAACAATAAGGTATTTGAGATCTGGTTATAAAGCTATTTGTGCCTTTATACACAAAGCCAATACTCACATCACATGTATGATGTATAATGGTGCAGAACAAACATTCTTGAAGGACACATGGAAGGACAAAATAGCTTATTTTAGTGACCAAAATAAGTACAAAATAAAGAACAAAATATTGTATGGGCTTGTGAATACCAGTCCTTCAATTAAAACTTGGCTAAAACTTTAGTCAAGAGATCTTCTTCTAATCTACAATTGTTTTAGGATAATGGCTACGATATAATGAAAGACAAGGGTTAAGGGGTCAACTCCACATCATTGATAGTAGGGGGAGAAAAAGAAGAAGGAAAAAAGAAAAAGAATTGGGCTGGCATACACAAACATTTTTTCATCATTGCTATTATTTAGGAAAGTAATTGTATAATTTTCCAATTTAACCTGTGTCATGCTTAGTGTTTCATCTTTAACGCAACCGGTTCCACGTCAAGACAAGGATGAGGGTTGTGTTATGTAGCCTGCTAGTTAGCACGTAAAAATCCCTGTCAAATCCCTGATAAGCATGAATTCTAATACGAATATTTGAGTAAGGGTTAGGGCTTTCACTGTAAGCGATGCGTTACTGCTGCCTTCAAGCATTTCGAAAAAATGGGCAAGGGGCATCACATCGGCACTCAAGTGTGGTGAAATATAGGCAAGGGTCCCTGCGTTTTCCTAGATGAGCGCAGTTAAAAAAGTTAACCCAAAATTATAGATTTATATTATGAACTTGGAATATAGAAACACTAACAGATAAAACTATGGAATTAGTAGATTCTATGATTACCAACAAAGTTAATGTATCACGTTTTCAAGAAACTAAGTAGTAGGTGAGAATAGGAAATAGAAACTATTCTATATAAAATTAAGTATACTGGTAAAGATAGACATCCAAATAGTGTAGGAAAAATTGTAGCTGAACTTCTTAAAGATAAAGTAGTAATAGTAACAAGAATAGGAGAGACAATAATACTAATTAAACTGGTAATTGGAGAAAGTATGATTAATTTGATTAGAGCCTGTGGACTTTAAATAGGATTTCAGGAAAATATTAAAAGACAATTTCAAGATCAACTGGATAAGTTAATGCAACAAATACTTGTAGGCTATGTGGCACGGGCATGGACACAGGACACAACGCGAACATGCCGACATGTTGAGTTTTAGAAAATCTGGTTGAAGTCCCACCTATCATTCAACTCAATTCAAGTGTGTTTGACCAAGGAATGCAAACAAAATGAGGAGGGAAATGGGGAGGGGGTGGCTAGCTACACTAGAGGGGAATTGGAGGGAAATTTTCCTCCCAAAATTTGGAGTAGGGTTTGATCAACTCAAAACCCAAACCCTAATTTCATGGATATTGAGTCAAATACCTATCCATGGACTTAAAATGGTCCAATAAATGCTACTAAGATATAACAAGGCCCAAATAAATATTCTCAACTTGTGGGCCTAGTACCCAAAGTCCAATTCATGCAAGGGATGCTCAAAAATCAAAGTGGGTTCACTAAGCCTTATTTACAAATGGCCTCAATTCAATTTAAAATAAATGAAATCAAGTACTAGTGCAATTTAATCATAATTAAGTCAAGTCCTAGTCAATTACTTAATTAGCATGAAAAGTTTATTGGGCATTACATAATAATACCCATTTGAAGTAGTTGTTTTGAACATTTGACTCGTAAGAGTATCTCCAACGGTGAATCATTTATTTCACCAAATTTGAGTAAAAATTTGAATGAAAATTCCATCTGATATCCAGCACTCCAATGGAGCATTTTTGGCTGTCATCAACACACAGGTCAATCAAGGAGACGATCGGCCGGATGTCTGACCGGTCAACCGACAAGAGCAATTTCGAAAATTATTTTTCCCTCAATTCCTTCGCTATTTGTTTTTTCCTCCATTAATTATTTTCCATTCATTTTTGGCTCCATGAATTATTTCCCTCAATATATATATATATATATATAAACAAATTAAACTATGTAAATACACCCAACAAACAACGTTGTATCTGGAAGCAACCCATAACTGAAAAACAAAGCATAATGACTTTTTCAACTTCTTATTTATTCATTGATTTTTCATCCTCCTCTTCTTCCTCATCCTCTGATGATAAAAGTGATGATGCAAAAATTGTTTCACTTGTGGATATTTATAAGATAAATAATGCTAGCATGATATAGACGCTGATAGGAAGTGATCAACCAAAGAAAAACTGTGGCTCTGTTGTAGGACATAAGTACATACGTCGCAAAAGAAGAAAGGGTCATGATCGATTGGTTGCGGATTACTTTATTGTAAATCCAGTTTATTCTTCTTCAACATTTTGGAGACGTTTTAGAATGCGTCGTGATTTGTATCTACAAATTTTGCATGCCATTAAAGCACACGACACATATTTTGTTCAAAAAAAAGATGCAACTCATATTCTCGGGTTGTCTCCACTTCAAAAGATGACTTCAGCAATTAGAATGCTCGCATATGGAGTGACAGCAGATGCAGTTGATGATTATGTGCGAATTGGGGAAAGCACGACAATTGAAAGTTTGAAACATTTTTGCAATTCAATGATCATAATCTTTGGACCTGAATATCTTAGATCTCCATCAACAACTGATATTGCTAGATTACTTGCTATTGGAGTGGTTCGTGGGTTTCCAGGTATGTTGGGAAGTTTAGATTGCATGCATTGGGAGTGGAAAAATTGTCTGATGGCATGGCAAGGTCAATATGTAGGCCATCAGAAAAAGCCAACCATAATTCTTGAAGTAGTAGCTTTTTATGACTTGTGGATTTGGCATGCATTTTTTGGAATGCCTGGATCACACAATGACTTGAATGTCTTGGATCGTTCGCCCTTATTTTCTGATCTTGCACAAGGGAAAGCTCCACCTACTAATTTCACAGTTAATAGACACATTTACAATATGGGTTATTACCTTGCTGATTATACCCTCCATGGGCAACATTGGTGCAGACAATCTTTTCTCCCCAAGGAGCAAAGAAGCAACATTTTTCTATGATGCAAGAGTCAGCAAGGAAGGATGTAGAGCAGGCATTTGGAGTGCTCCAATCTTGATTTGCAATTGTAGGTGGTCCAATACGTTTTTGGGATCCCAAAATCCTTGGTAACATAATGAAGACTTGCATTATATTGCACAATATGATGGTCGACGATGAGAGAGACTCCTATCTTTGATTTGGATTATGAAATATCATCTAGCACCTCAACAGTAGTACTATCTACTACCGGTAACAATGACTTTGAATCATTTATGTCCCGTCATTTAGGTATTAGAGATAAGAACATATGTGGCAATTTCATGGTGAACAGTAACTTGACCATGTGGACAAGAGGATGAACTTTTTGTTGGCTTTTTTGATTGGGAGGTGTTTAGGGTGATTAATTTGTCAATGTTTGTTGTTATTTTGGTAGTATAGATGCTCTTAAATCTGTACACATATATTAGTTTTGGAACTGAATGCATGAAATGAATATATAATGTTCCACTTTGTTCAATGAAAATTACATAGTCTCCCTCATTTGTTCTACTTTGTTGCCTCAATTAAATTTGTTCAAGAAAACCACATAATTTATTAATTGTCTTTTGCATCACAGAGTAATGGTGAGACAAAGAAATACAGTTTCGATTTGATTGATCATTCAATTGTGAATTAAAATAAATGAGTATCCATTCACAGAATATTGCCATGGTTTGACTATTACCTACAATGGGATCTTGAGAGAAAGCCAACCAAGATCTACATAAAGTTTCATCTTCTATAATGATGACCGCTTTACCCCAAGGAACACGACAAGTTTCAGAAATAATACTTATATCATTGCTCTAGTCAAAAGTTTGTGATTTGTCAAACATTTCAAAATATTCCATAGTTTGAAGGTGAAATTT